TAGCCATAACAGCGCATTGAACCATCATTTGAAGAAACATTCAGATTCAGGAGATACACCATATCAATGTGAACATTGTGCAAAGAAATTTACAAGCAGTTTCATTTTGAAAAGACACTTAAGGATGCACTCAAGTGAACGACCATATCAATGTGAGCATTGTGAAAAGAAATTTAAGAGTGATAGTAATTTGAAATCGCATATAAAGACACATTCGGGGGTGAAACCTTTTGAATGTGAACATTGTTCAAAGAAATTTATAAGAAATAGCGACTTGAAAACTCATTTGAGGATACATACGGGAGATAAACCATATGAATGTCGACATTGTGGGAAATCGTTTACCCATATAAGCACTTTGATCCAACATTCCGTTTTACATTCAGAAAAAAAACCATTTGAATGTGAACATTGTGCAAAAGTATTTAAAAGAATTAGCGAGTTGAAAGCACATTTAAGGATACATTCTTCAGGACAGACACCAAATGAACGTCAACCACATATGTGTGAACATTGTGAAAAAAAATTTACAAGTGGTAGAGATCTGAAGAGACATATAAGGATACATACAGGAGAGACACCATACGTATGTGAGCATTGTGGAAAGAAGTTTAAGATGGTTGGCAGTTTGATCAGTCATTTGAGGATACATACAGGAGAGAGACAATTTTTATGTGAACATTGTGCCAAGAAATTCAAGACCAATGGTGATTTGATAACGCATTTGAGGAAACACACAGGCGAGACACCATACGAATGTAAACTTTGTTTGAAAAAGTTTAAGAGCAATAGCAATTTGTATACACATTTGAAGAACTTACATTCAGAAAAAAAGCCATATGAATGTCAATTTTGTGAGAAGAAATTTAAGAGCAGTAACTATTTAAAAATACATATGAGGATACATACAGGAGAGATGCCCTACAAATGTGAAGTTTGTGAAAGAAATTTTAAACACAGTAACACTTTGAAAAGGCATTTGAGGATACATACAGGAGAGACACCTTACGAGTGTGAACATTGTGGAAAGAAATTTAGAACCAATAGCGATTTAAAAATACATTTGAGGATACACACTGGAGAAACACCTTATGAATGTGAGCAATGTGCAGTAAAATTTAGATACGGTAGAGATTTGAAAAAACATTTGATGATTCACACATAAAAAAGATAATTTAAATGTGAACATTAGCAAATAAAAGACAAATTTGTAAATAAGGAATAATTTGAGACAATAATTTTGTTTATATAAATGCAGGGATGTAGTTAAGGTGGAGCCACCAAGCCTTAATATTTTCCACCCAGTCTAAAGCCAATTCCATGGCCCTCCACCCACCCTTATTAACCCACTCATTCATATTTATTTAGAGTTTGCCAATGTTTTCACCCACCACCCTTAGTTTCCTAGAGCAACAATGCTGTACAGTGTAAATGTTGATACTAACATACTGTACAGATGATTTTGGGGTTATTTTGTCAATATTTGCAGTCGACGGGTTTGCTGAACAAGGTATTAAAAATGTCTGGCCTAACCTGTATAGTCAAGATCTGCATGGTTGGGCTTTCTTGGAAACCAGAGCCTTGCAGGCGTCAACGTTCCTATGCATGATACTGTACACGACTTTTAGAAGTATAT